AAAAAAATAAAAATAAAAATGTATGTATAAAAAAGTCTGGGACTGAAAGGGTTAATCTTCGTCCATCCGACCCATAGTTAAAAAAAAGTTACACATCTTGAGACTCCTGCGCACATCCTCACTTTAGTGTAACATTACAATAGATGTTGTCGTCTCCAACAGTATCACTGTTTTTCATGCAGCAACTGTTTTCAAATTGTATTAAAAGCTACTTACCTTTGAAGAGGAGGTGATGTTTCATTTTCTATCAATCTTAAGACCGTATTAAACGTAGCTTTTGAAATACGAAATCGATTTATAAAATCATGATCGTCATACAATTCACAATAGTTGACTCTTTCATAAAACATCCGAGGTCAACGTTAATAATTAATTTTAATAATTTCTTCATCATCGTCATCTTCGTCGTATAGTATTCGACGATACATTCTATTTTAGTTGAACTCTTGTTTTAAAAATGCACTGTGTAGAAACTATGAAAACGTTAAAGTAAAAATCGGAAAAAGAACAGCGCCAAACTTATAAAATTCGATATGTTATCTACATGATTACATTATTATTATCATATAAAGTATAAACAATCCCTCCCATTCCAACGCGGCTGATATCGTGGTCGTAACTTGGAGTTAGGTCCTTATTACCTAGAATTATCAAGGGTTAAAATCTGGGAGTAGAGATTTTCATTAACTTGAAGTTATCACTTAACTCTAGGTCGTGAAAAAAACTTTTTTTCGCTAACTCCGAGTTATCTCTTTAACTCTTAGTGGTGAAACCGGCCCTTAATTACTGAACACCGCAAACTAAATAAKCAAAATTATATACAATCAGCAACAGCTTTTCTATCAACATTAACAAAATTATCCGATTCAAAATTTAAATTTTACTCTGAAACTTCAGAAATTCAAAAATACATTCAGGAACATTATCCATAAAATACTATTTTTTTTATTTACCTATCTGTTACCATAATTCATTCTTCATTTCAGGTCCATTTATAACCTATTTGGACTACTCGTATAGAATACGGTTTTGTCAAAGTTGTAGAAAAATTTATTCGATTTTTAACCGGATGATTGCCCGGCGATCGGCCACACTCGTCCGCTACTGGACAACGAGATTTTAGTTTTATACCTGAAAATAGCAGGTATGATAGACGGGAACTTCTGTAATCTATAATGGTACAGGTTTCAAGTCGATCGTACAATTATTCGGTTTTTAATTAATAATTCATAATATATTTGCACAACATACGGGTAATTTCGCAAAGATCGGTCACATTCTAGCTGTCCGTTACTGGAAAACGAGATCTGTCAACAAAAATACCAACAAACTTATACACAACTGACTGAACTTAAACAATACATTAACAAATACTATACGTTTTAACAAAATAATAAAATAACCTTTTTGTGATAAAAATGCCTTGTTATTTTATTATTACCGAAATTTTTACAGGGGCAATGTTCAAAAACTACAAGTCCAATTCGACACCAGATATACCTAAGCTATCTGAGCATTGCATTGAAAAAAATCCTAATGCCGGGTTGCATGAACATTTACTGAACCGATAAATCGTTATCGGTTCTGTAAAAATAAAACTGTTCTGTAAAATTGATAAATAAAAAACCAATATACCGTTATCGGTTCGATAAGTTATAGGTCCGAATTCGGATCTGTAAAATTTGCAGAACCGTTTAAAGATTCYTTATCATTTAATTTAAAATGTATTATCACTTAAAATTATTATTTATTTATTTTCAACAATTATTAATTTTATCGAATTCCATATTGTTTCAAAACATTTTTAATTTAAATAATTAATTGTTATGTCTTCGTCATCCTCGTCTGATGATTCCGATGAAGATATTATTCTTCAAATTTTAATAAATCTTCCAAGACCAAGGCGGTTTAGGGATAGGTCAAATCCGTTGCAGGACTATGACGACTTGGACTTCAAGTGTCGCTTTAGGTTAGAATTTTTTTAAGTCTGTTGTTTTCATTCTGCTGAGTTTAACAGTTTTTAATAAATTGTGTCATTTGCTGTTAATAGATTGTCGAAGGAAACATTTATGATACTTTTGCATATGATCGGTGACTATTAAACATAAGACAAATAGAAGTTCATCTCTTTCACCTGTACTTCAACTTTTAATTGCTCTGCGTTACTATGCTACTGGAGAATTTCAAGTATTTTTCAGAAACACAAATTTTATAATTTATAAATAAGAAGTACAGTACGGTTTTAATTATTATAGATGGTGTTAGGCGATCATATTCAGGTTCATAAATCTACTGTTTGTAGAGTTATTAAAACAGTGTCCACAGAAATTGCTCGATTACGTCCACATTTTATTGAATTCCATAGTACTGTTGCAGAGCAACAAAGAGTTCAATTAGGATTTTTCAGATTACATCAATTTCCTCTTGTTATTGGTGCCCTAGATCAGTGGCGTGGTGAAAGGGGTTTAATGACGCCTAGGYGWCATGGTGAAAATTGTTTGGGTGGGTGAGTCTATGGGTGTGGGTATGTAGTTGGATCCAACTTGGGTACCAAGCATTATGGTAAGCCATAATATAACACACACCATACCAGTAACCGATGGAGATATTTCCACCTGCGCGGCTACCCATCGCGCATGAAAAGTCAACTACACTCAATAACACACTCGTTGTCATAGAATTAAATAGCTAAATAGGTAATTGTTCTCTGCTAGTGGCAGCACTGGCAACAATATGATTAGTATTTTGTTAAACTTAATAATATAATATTRTCTAATGTTATTGTCGTCATGTTCGCCGTTTCATAGAAAAATAACCATACTCAGTCCCAGTGACGTGGCGAAGGTATTATTTTGGAGCAATAATTGCTCCTTCAAAAATTTTGGTGGGTGGGTGGTAGTCCCCTTGCCATAAAATACCTAGGCACCTTGGTAACTAGGTTTATGATAGAAAATATTAATTCGTATACAAAATGTGTCTTACTTGTGTAAGACACGTGCTAGCTACTAGCTAGTGTGCTACACTCACTCAACAGCATAAAACCTGTTAATATTATAGAAGTTAATCAGTACGCCAAAAATATCGGTCTATCCGATGCAGACGGTTGTTGTCAGTCGGTTACAAATAATGCATTATGATTATTATTATTAGGAAAACACAGATAAGCTGGTTCGTTTCTAGAAACGACCGCGATTGCTTATACCCGCTACCCGCCTAATAATATTGTTATTGGTGAAATGGTGATTTATTAATAGAAAACGGCGTGAGCGTGTGTTATCGTATTKGATTAAACTATTCTTTTGTAATCAATATTCAATAATCCAGTGCAAGACGCGAGTGTGCGACACTGCGACTACGACATTTTCTCATTCTTTGAAGCATTGTGACTTGTGACCACTTTGGTTTTCTAAAGTTTTGTTTATTTTGATAATTTGATTTAATCATGTCTGACGTCGAAACCGAAGCATGTTTATGTGGTAAAAAAAAAATGAACATAAATCCGACGAATTGGAAAAGGCATTTAAGCGCGTGCAAAACGATAAAAAAAAAGAATTCATCTTCAAAATATGTAAATACATATTTTAAAGGATTTTTGAAGACTTCTAGTTGTTCTGAGTCTGATGCAATAAAAATGAAAAAAAAATGGTAAGTACTATTTATTTAAATATTATACTAATATTATTGTGAAGTATCATATTTTATTTGTAGAATTTAAATTTTAAAGTACCTTTCTATTTTTTTATCTAGGTACCTACCAACAAATAKATGTTAATTAATAGTTATTTACAATTAAGTTTTTGTAACTAAATGAATCGGTTATTTATGAAGGGCCCCCCCCCAAGTCCAAAAAATGAAACTTTCGGGAAATTAAAAATAACTGTTTTTCTCATACAATTTTGCATGATAAAAAATATTTTAAATGTTCATTAACAACTGTTATTATYAAAACAGTTAAATTGGAAAAATGTTTACCTATTTATCAATGGGGTAAAAAGTCGACTCTTTTCAAAATTAAACTATACATTTATACATTATTTCCTCAGAATATTTATTAAAAAAAGTAATTTTCCAAAAAATTGTGACATCTCACCTTTCATAAATAACCAATTCAAATGGTATAGGTTCTATACTTCTATAGGACCTACCTATTTTGTTATATGTAACTACTGTTTGTTGAATCTGAAAAACATACTAGGTAGTTTCTAATYCTATTTTTTATACTATAAAATATATTAAATTAAACACTGAATAGCCGTATAGAACGGCAGTATGGCATACACTGTTGCAAATAGATTGAACTTAAATGGCTTATGAATAGCAATTTATATTTAATCAGATTTTAATTTTTTTAATTTTAGTAAAAAAAAAATATTTTATGATTTCAGATGAGCAACATTTAACAGTATGCAAAGATATTCATGAAGATGACATGGACAATGAAAGCAGAGGATCTGGTTTAGTTAATGCAGATTTAAATAGTGCAATAACTGTTAAAGATATTAATGGTGATCAAGGTATGACTGGTAAATTAAATTAATTATTAAAAAATAATAAACTAATACAGAAACAGGAAGATCTGATAAATAAAATAACTTGTTGTAATCAATATTTTTNATTCAAATGGTATAGGTTCTATACTTCTATAGGACCTACCTATTTTGTTATATGTAACTACTGTTTGTTGAATCTGAAAAACATACTAGGTAGTTTCTAATCCTATTTTTTATACTATAARATATATTAAATTAAACACTGAATAGCCGTATAGAACGGCAGTATGGCATACGCTGTTGCAAATAGATTGAACTTAAATGGCTTATGAATAGCAACTTATATTTAATCAGATTATAATTTTTTTAATTTTAGTAAAAAAAAAATATTTTATGATTTCAGATGAGCAACATTTAACAGTATGCGAAGATATTCATGTAGATGACACGGMCAATGAAAGCAGAGGATCTGGTTTAGTTAATGCAGATTTAAATAGTGCAATAACTGTTAAAAATATTAATGGTGATCAAGGTAAATTAAATTAATTATTAAAAAATTATAAACTAATACAGAAACAGGAAGATCTGATAAATAAAATAACTTGTTGTAATCAATATTTTTTTTTTTTATTTTTTTATTACATATTATTATGTATTGAATTACTACTTGTTTAATATAATAATCTTTATTTTAATTTTAAAGAATGTAATATTCAAATATTAATCACMCATAATATTTTATATTTATATATATTTTTTAATTTAAATGTTTTTTACGACTGGATCAACTTTACTTAACAAAGTAATGAGATTTAAAAAAATAACTTTATAACTTAAATAACTTAAATAACTGTTCTTACAATCTAGTTTTCTATAATACAGATTTACAAATGGGTGATTTGAATTTAAAAAAAAAAAATTTAATCAGATTTAAAATTTTTTATTTTCAGTATTAAAAAATTATTTATGATTTCAGATGAGCAACATTTAACAGTATGCGAAGATATTYATGCAGATGATATGGACAATGAAGACAGAGGATCTGATTTAGTTAATGCTGATTTAAATAGTGAAAATGGTTATGTAACAAATGAAGAACCAATTGTCCCTGATACCTGTCTTCCAGTCTCAGGTAATTATATAAAATAGTTGTGTTTTAATAATAAGAATAATCATCATTATTATATTAATTAAAAACAACAATTGGTAAGTAAATT